TAATTTAATACTCAGATTTTAAAATTTATTTTGAACTTTGTTTTCTATATAAATGTTTAAATTTTCATAGTTTTTTAGTTAGTATGTATTTAGAAATAAGACACTCTGATTGTTATATACACCATCAATTGTGGGTTTAAAACTGAACTCAATATGTGAAGGATTATACTTTTGAGTAAAACTAGAAGTAAACTTTTGCCCTTTATGTCTTCACAATTACTTGGATCATTATTTTTTTTTTTTTTACTGCTACTGCTATTTCAGAAAGATTTGTTTTTTTTCTTGATGATGAAAGTCCAGTGAAGCTTGTTTGAAATCTATAAATTAGTATTTAAAATAAATAATATAAAGTTTGCTTTTTTTGTTTAGCTAGTAGTATTAAAGTATAACTTTAAAAATGGGCTTGATTAAAAATATAGTTAATATAAATTATAAATAAATCTATATTTTCTCAGATATTTATAGACTTTGAATTTTAATAAATAACTTTAAAACAGCATATATTATTATAAATTGGTGTTTTTGCAAATGACTAGTCTGCAGCTTTCACCGTGTAAATTCTCTTATCCTGCATGGATGTTGTAGCAATGTCAGATTGCTGTAAAAGTTTCTAAATGCTTATTCTCAATTTCTGTGCTTATTTTGTTGCAGACTAGCAACAATCAGTGTGCTGATTTTCACCTATAGATCATACTTTGAGTAGCATTGATTGAGGTTGTTTACAGTCTTTTACAATGACAAAACTTTCCACTGTGAACATAATTATTCACAGAGGTTAAATATCTGTAGAATAAATTCCCAGAAGTATATTGCTGGACAAAGAGTGTGTTGTATATTTATGATTTTAGAGGTTATTTCGAATTTGTTCTCTAAACTAGAATATTGCATCCCTTATATCCCATCAGTGGTATGAGAGTACCTGTTTCCCCACAGTAAGAGTTTTATAAAACATTTTAATTTTCACCTAGTATTGGTAAAAGAAATATAGTATCTATATAATTGTTTTGATTTGCATTTCCAAAGTGAAATTGAGCATCTTTTCATATACTTACTAGAGGCCCGGTGCATGAAATTCGTGCAGGGGGTGTGTGTGTGTCCCTCAGCCCAGCCTGCACCCTCTCCAATCTGGGACCCCTCGAGGGATGTCCGACTGCCCGTTTAGGCCCGATCCTGGTGGGCCTAACTCACATTCCAGGACTGTTGGCTCCCAACCACTCACCTGCTTGCCTGCCTGGTTGCCCCTAACCTCTTCTGCCTGCCAGCCTGATCACCCCCTAACCACTCCCCTGCCAGCCTGATTGATGCCTAACTGCTCCCCTGCTGGCCCAGTTGTCCCTAACTTCCCTCCCCTGCCAGCCTGGTCACCTCTAACTGCCCTCCCCTGCAGGCCTGGTCCCCACCCACTGTCCTCATCCATAGGTGCACGATTTTTGTCCAGTTTCTTCCCGCATCTCCCATTCCTGATCGCCCACAACTGCCCTCCCCTGAAGGCCTGATTGCCCACAACTGCCCTCCCCTGCTGGCCTGATCGCCCACAACTGCCCTCCCCTGATGAAGGCCTGGCCCACAACTGCCCTCCCCTGCTGGCCTGATCGCCCACAACTGCCCTCCCCTGAAGGCCTGATTGCCCACAACTGCCCTCCCCTGCTGGCCATTTTGTGTCCACATGGGGATGGCCATCTTGTGTGTTGAAGTGACAGTCAATTTGCATATTACCTCTTTATTATATAGGATGAGTCCCTTGTGCATGTTTTTCTAGGAAGTGTCTTAACATGTCTTTTCCTATGGGAAGAGGCTAAATATTGTTTTGTTAATTGATTTGTAAGAGGTCTTTATATATAGTCATGCACCACTTAACATCACATTCTGAGAAACACATTGTAGTAGATCTCATTCTGTGAATATCATAGAGTGTACTTACACAAACCTAGATTTACACAAACCTAATCTTACACACCTTAGGCTATATGGTATAGCCCCGTGGTCGGCAAACTGCGGCTCGTGAGCCACATGTGGCTCTTTGGCCCCTTGAGTGTGGCTCTTCCTAAGCCTTAGGAGTACCCTAATTAAGTTAATAACAATGTACCTACCTATATAGTTTAAGTTTAAAAAATTTGGCTCTCAAAAGAAATTTCAATCGTTGTACTGTTGATATTTGGCTCTGTTGACTAATGAGTTTGCCGACCACTGGTATAGCCTATTGCTCATGGGCTACAAACTTGTACAGCATGTTACTATATAAAACAGCACAAGATTAATCAAGAACAAGAGAAAATGATGCAATCAAGATATATGGTAAGCACAAGATGTATGAGGTTACTGCTGGTGTAACATGGCATACTGTTTTACAGCAAACTTTTTTGGTAAGTAGAAGGAATATACTCTAAAACAGGGGTCCTCAAACTACAGCCCGCGGGCCACATGCAAATACAAATATTGTATTTGTTCCCGTTTTGTTTTTTTACTTCAAAATAAGATATGTGCAGTGTGCATAGGAATTTGTTCATAGTTTTTTTTAAACTATAGTCCAGTCCTCCAACGGTCTGAGGGACAGTGAACTGGCCCCCTGTTTAAAAAGTTTGAGGACCCCTGCTCTAAAATAACAACAAAAATTATAGTAAATACATAAACCAGTAACATAGTCGTTTATTACCATTATCAAGTATTATGTACTATATACAACTAGTGGCCCGGTGCACGGATTCGTGCACATTGAAAGGAAATTAATTAGAAGAAATATTTTAGTATCGCTATTCACCCTTGATCTATAATAGAAGTGTCAGGTTGGTCACTTAGCCTTTTAAACGCGCCAGCGAGAGCTTTATATGTATCGCGCATGTGCGAGTTAATGTTTATTTGTAAATTGCCAGTGCGCATCATATGTACCGGTCAGACGGACGTACGGTTGGTCACTTAGCCTTTTATGTATGTAGATAGAAGGTAGTATGTACTATGCTTTTATATGACTGGCAGCAGTGTAGATTTGTTTACACCAGCATCATCAAAACATGTAATATGTGTGTACGATGTTGCATTGGCTATGATGTCACTCAGTGATAGGAATTTTTCAGCTCCATTATAATCTTATGAGACCACTGTAATATATGCAGTATGTTGAGTGAAATGATTATGCAATGTATGACTATAAAAGGAAAATTAGCCCTTTGTCTGACAAATGTGTTGCATACTTTCTCCAAGTTGTTCTCTTGCTTTTTGACGTACTGATTAAAAAAATTTGCCCTGAGTTAAAACATTATTATTATTATTATTTTTATTGCTAAAAGTATTACAAAGGGTATTACATATGTGTCCTCCCCCCCCGCCCCCCCCCGGCCCTTGACAATCCCCTGGCCTCCCTTACCCCCCAGTGTCTTATGTCCATTAGTTATGCTTATATGCATGCATACAAGTCCTTTGGTTGATCTCTCCTACCTCCTGCCCCCCAACCCTCCCTGGCCTTCCCGCTGCAGTTTGACAATCTGTTTGAGGCAGCTCTGCCTCTGTATCTATTATTGTTCAAAAGTTTATAATGGTCTCTATTATCCATGAATGAGTGAGATCATGTGGTATTTTTCCTTCATTGACTGGCTTATTTCACTTAGCATAATGCTCTCCAGCTCCATCCATGCCGTTGCAAATTGTAAGAGTTCCTTCTTTTTTACAGCAGCATAGTATTCCATCGTGTAGATGTACCACAGTTTTCTAATCCATTCATCTACTGATGGGCACTTAGGCTGTTTCCAGATCTTAGCTATGGTGAATTGTGCTGCTATGAACATATGGGTGCATATATCCTTTCTGATTGGTGTTTTTGGTTTCTTGGGATATATTCCTAGAAGTGGGATCACAGGGTCAAATGGGAGTTCCATGTTTTGTTTTTTGAGGAAACTCCATACTGTCTTCCATAGTGGCTGCACCAGTCTGCATTCCCACCAGCAGTGCACAAGTGTTCCTTTTTCTCCACATCCTCTCCAGCACTTGTCGTTTGTTGATTTGTTGATGATAGCCATTCTGACAGGTGTGAGATGGTACCTCATTGTTGTTTTGATTTGCATCTCTCGGATGATTAGTGACTTTGAGCATGTTTTCATATGTCTCTTGGCTTTCTGAATGCCCTCTTTTGAAAGGTGTCTATTTAGATCCTTTGCCCATTTTTTGATTGGATTGTTTATCTTCTTTTTTAAAACATTATTTTTTTAAACTTTTTTTTTTTTTTGGTTAATCCTCATCCAAGGATATTCTTTCTATTGATTTTTAAAGAGAGGGAGGGAGGGGCAGAGAGAGAGAGAAACATTGATGTGAGAGAAACATATGGATTGGTTGTCTTTTGCATAGGCATAATCGGGGATTGAACCTGCAACCCAGCTATGTGCCCTTGGTTGGGAATTGAACCCACAACCTATTGGTGCGTGGGCCGATGCTCTAGCCATTGAGCAATACCAGCCAGGGTGATTTTTAAACTTTCAAGCCTTTTCTGAACTTGGGTAGCATGCTTACTACTATTTTGCAGATAGTCCACTTTTTACATGAGCATGTGTATGACAGATAATGTCAGTATGTTAAATATTTTTTATTTTTGTGATATTTATTGGTTCTAGATCTACATTTTTTTTTGGTACTGTAAAGGATCTTTTTTTTTTTTTAAAAAAAAACACCTGATTTTAGAGAGAGAGGAAGGGAGAGAAAAACATTGATATGAAAGAGAAACTTTGATTGGTTGCCTCCTGAATGCACTTCACCCAGGGATTGAACCCGAAACCTAGGTACGTGTCCTGACCAGGAATCAAACCTGAAACCTTTTTGTGTGTGAGACAACGCTCCAACCAACTGAGCCACCTGGCCAGGGCAGTACTGTAAAGGATCTTTTACTGATGTTTTCTGTGAATGTTTACAACTGCTGATTCTTCAGAGCCTCAGCAGCCTCCTGGCTGTAGAGGAGATGGAAAGAGTATTACTTTTAATGGTAGCTATCCTGATCATATTTCTTTGTTTTGAAACAGGAACCACAGGAGGAAAATGGATTGGAGAAGATGAAGACAAAACAGTTGAATAGAGCAAAGTGTTTGGCTAAAAGAAAAATTGCACGTATGTTTTTGTTTTTAGAATTGATTAGAAATTATGTCATAGTGTTGTACCAAAAAAAGGAGAAAGTCTTTATTTTTTCCATTGTTATATGAAATGTTCTCTTTTAGCCATTTTAAGTACTCACAAATTATACAAGTTTTCTTGATATATACTATCTAGTTTTGTGTTCTGGATTATTAACACTCTGTTTGCATGTCTCAGTGGGAGGTTAACCTGAATGTTGGGAGATGTTAATTATTGTAAATTATAACCAGCATAATCAGCTTCACACAAATTTTGTACTTCTCTTGTTTAGCTTAGCAGAATCATTTGATAAGGTAATATTTAATGCTGATAAGGTTGAAACTTGCTGACATTTTCCTTAAGGGAGCATGCTCCCAGGTGTGATTCTAATTTTTTTTCTATTTTTTCTTCTGGTTGAATTTTTATCTAGTAGAGAGGTAAGGTAAAATGTTTTAGTCAACAGCAGTGTTAATTGAACTTTAGTCTTAGAACATGTTGATATGTGAAAATAAGAGAAAGTAACTAGTGAATGAGAGTGTCCTTTTAATTCTGAGTGGTTAAAGAAAATTTTTAATGGTGGTTTTGTCAAGTTATGTGGCTCTGTGTTGTCAGTAAAAGATACATCAAATGATTGAGTTTGATAATTGAAATTGAAGTTTTGTGTTTCTTTAAATAATATATAATAACACATAATTTGACTATGATTATTTTAAATATATTTTTATTGATTTCAGAGAGAAAGGGAGAGAAAGAGAAATATCAATGATGAGAGAGAATCATTGATTGGCTGCCTCCTGCACGCCCCCGACTGGGGACCAAGCCCGCACCCCGGGCATGTGTGCCCTCACTGGGATTCAAACCTTGCCCTCCTGGTTCATAGATTGATGCTCAACCACTGAGCCACACTGGATGGGCTCTCCTGAACTTTAATAGCAAACCATACCACCACTGTATGTGACCGACAGTGACATTATTTATCCTTTACCAGTTGCAAAAATAATTGATTCACTAACATTCTTTAACAATGATCAGTTGGCTGTGTTTTTCTTAAAGTATCATTATGAACTCTGGGATTCAAACATATTTAATGTGTTTTAATTCATTATTTTTATCGATATTCTAGTTCTAGTTTTGGCCAGGGAGAACCTTTTTACTTTGGCTCTTAAATTTTTTTGATATGACCCTGGTAATGTCTTATAGCTTCCTTGCTCACAAATATGACAGGTACTCTAGCTCATCTTCTACATTTCTATTACAGACTTTGAATCAGCCATTTCTCCTAGGTATGCCAGTTGCTTTTAATAGGAAATGATGTTTGGAGATCACATTCTGGTCACTAGGGAAGGTCTTTTCTACTGGGTAAACGGTCCCATCAAGAGGATTCTGATTGAGTAAATTATTCTGGTTAAATGTCGAGCATAAAGCAGTGTGATTGGTATGTAGCAAAAAGCCCTGAAAGCTGGTTCCTGTTTATTCATTCACCAAATATTTGAGTATCTACCAGTTGCTAGGTATTCTTTTTTATATAGAGGTGGACAAAAGTAGATTAATGATAATAAATAATACAGTAATTAGTAAATAAGAAATAATACAAGAATGAACTGTTTCACGTACTCACAACTGTAAACCTACTTTCGCCTACCCCTGTATGCTGAAGATACAGCAGTGAACAAAATAGGCACAAACTGCCTTCATAGGAGCTCACAGTCTAGTTAATCCAGGATTCTTGTAACTTCTGCTGCCGACCTTGGCCAATACCTTACTTTTTGGGACTTTCCTCATTTATAAGATTATAAAATTGTATTACATGGTCTGTAGTATCTTCACTTGAAAAGTTTAATAATTCTATTCCTTGCCTCCATGCTTATTCATTGTTTGTGGTATCCCTCCCCTCTCTTTCCTTGCCCTTCTACAGAAATGACAGAAGAAGAACAGTTTGCTCTAGCTCTCAAAATGAGTGAGCAGGAAGCTAGAGAAGTGAACAGCCAGGAGGAGGAAGAAGAAGAGCTCTTGAGGAAAGCCATTGCAGAAAGCCTAAATGTAAGCATGCTATGCTGAAAAAGTTTGTGAGGATTGATAAGTAAAATTCTTTTTCTTTTACAGTGTTATGGTTGCATTAGAAACTAATGCTGTAGTAGTTCATAGGATTTTCAACTAATAAATATTCCCACAATTTTTAAAGCCCATGTTGAATTGTTGATAAGCCAAATTTGAAGTGTTTTGCTAATTCTGTATGAAAGAGTTTTCTTCCATCTCACAGATTTTCAGTCCATGGCTTAAGAGAACCATAGTAGTTGGCAGCTTCTGAAAAGAATGACCTATTAACAAGAAACCAAAAGGGGCAAGATAAAGAACTTACCTCCCCTATTTTGTAGAGAGAACAAAGAGAATGAGAGCTAGAGGTGGGTTACAGAGAGAAAGAATGGGCAGTTTTAAAATGTTTCAAATAATGTTAAATTGTGATTTGAATAAGTGTAATTGAAATTATTTTAAATATGAAGGATATTTGCCAGTGACAGGTCCTGAGCTATTTATGCCATCTACTTCTCTATATTAGAAAAGGGTTTAGTATAGAACCTAGGATAGTTATTTGCACGTAGTAAGCATTCAGTATGCATTGTGGAATTCATTTGAATTGTGCATCTACATTTTAAGGAGGAGCATCTCTTAGGGACAGTGGCCTCCCCTTTTTGTCGTTCCTGTGACCCTTCATGTGTAGCTATTTTAATAATAAACCTGATCTTGTTTGGTATTACTTGTTTCAGAGTTGCCGGCCTTCTGATGCTTCTGCTACCAGATCTCGAGCTCTGGCCATTGGACCATCTTCACAATCCCAGCAAGAGAAAACCACAGACTCTGGGACCACTGAAGGCATGTCTCCCTGTTCTGACTCCTTGCACTCATCAAATATAACCATATCACAGGGATCTCATCCTGACAGTAGATATACAGAAATTCCCTAAATTTCTTTGGTGGTATTAAAGAGGTTAAATCAGAAAGTAGTTGAGATATCACTAATATCCAGCATACTTTATCTCCAAGGAAAAGCCAACAGTTGGTTAAACCCAAAGAAGAGCCTTATAACCCACATTATGTAGTTCTTGGTAAGTGAGAACTTACCAAGCCCTCTTAATAAAAAAGTTTGTCCTTAGCCCTACTTTTTCTCAAATACCTACAGGCATATGGCAGCTGGTACCTCCATCACTGTTTAAAGGCTCACATATCAGTCAGGGAAACGAGGCTGAGAAAAGAGAGGAGCCTTGGGACCACACTGAAAACACTGAAGAGGAGCCGGTCTCTGGCAGCTCAGGAAGCTGGGACCAGTCAAGCCAGCCAGTGGTTGAGAATGAGAACGTTAAATGTTTTGACAGATGCACTGGCCACTTGGCTGAGCACACACAGTGTGGGAAGCCACAGGAAAGTACTGGGAGAGAATGTGATTTTCACGAAGCTGCCCAGGGTAGGGGGGACACATCTAGGCACTTTCTGCCTGCCTCAGCAGATGCCAAAGGTATCCAGAACAGTGGGGGCACTGTGCACTACTTCTGGGGTATTCCATTTTGCCCAGCTGGAATAGACCCTAACCAGTATACCAAGGTCATTCTCTGCCAGTTGGAGGTTTATCAAAAGAGCCTGAAAATGGCTCAGAGGCAGCTCTTTAAAAAAAAAGGATTTGGGGAACCAGTGTTACCTAGACCTCCTTCTCTGATCCAGAATGAATGTGGCCAAGGAAATCAGGCTAGTGAAAAAAATGAAGGCATCTCAGAAGATATGGCAGATGAAGACAAAGAGGAGGAGAGGCAAGAGTCTAGGGCATCTGTCTGGCACTCAGAAACCAAGGATTTCCAAGAAAGTCCAATTAAAAGCTTGAAAGAGAAACTTTTGTTGAAGGAAGAACCAGCAACCAGTCATGGTCAGGTAAGGGTCAGTGATACTGTGATTAAGGATGATTTATTCACAGATTAAATAAAGATTTTAGCTATGCTTTTTGTGTTTTTCCCCCTTTATTTTTTTTCTCCCCCCCCCCCCTTTATTTTTAATGAAACACATGCCCATTATAGAAAACTAGGAAAGGACAAAAGAGTGTAAAGAAGAAAAAGTTACCCATAATCCCAGCACCTAGAGAGGCATATTTCTGTGCATATAAAAATATTTTCTTCTGTTTACTTTTTCAACAAAATGGAAACTCTTTTGTATAAGCTTTGTTCCTTTTCCCCACTTAATAGTTTACCTTAGATCTTTTTTTATTTATTAACTATATTGGAAAACATTTTATAATATGAATGTACCATAGTTTATTTTTTGTGTGTTTTAAAATTTACATTAGTTTTAAAAAGTTTAGTTTTTGAATGGGTAACAGTGTTCACATGGCTCAAAAGATATAAATGAACTATCTGTCCTCTGTCCCTATCCCCAGCCGACCAGTTTCCTCCCTAGAGTCAACCTTTATGACTAGTTTTCTAGTGTGTCCTTTCAAGAGATTTTATGTAGTACTAGTATAGGCACCTTCCTTTACCCAGGTCATGGTATACTCTACACATTATTCTGCATCGTGCTTCTTTGATTTAATATCTCTATGAGATCATTCCATGACAGTACATATGAGAGTTTCTCTCTTTTTTGGATGTGTAATGCTCCATGTATAGATGAGTTTTATTTTATCCAATGCTGCTGTTGGTGGACATTTAGGTTGTTACCAGTATTTTACTACTACTGGAGTGATTTCTGTTGTACAGAAGATGTTTCATTCACATGGGAGATATTTCTACAATAATTTATTGTAGATATAATTGGTGGGTCAAAATATGTATGCATTTACAGTTTTGTTAGCTATTGTCAAATTGCTTATTGATAGGGGTTGTATAAATTTACACTCATTGCAATGTATGAGTACAGGCTTCCCCATACCCATACCAATACAGTGTTATTAGGACCTCTTGATCTTTGTTAATCTGAGAGATGAAAAATATTACCTCAATGCAGTAGGAATTTTCATTTTTCTTACTATGTGTATAGTTGAGACTCATTTGTATTTCCTTTTCTGTGTTTAGATCTTACAGGCATTTTTCTTTTTGACCATCTTTTTCTTAGTGGTTTATAGGCATTCTTTATGTATTAGGGTGATATGAAACACATGTAGTTTTCCAGTTTATTCCCCCCCACCCCCCACCCCCCCACACACATAATACATAATGGTCTATTTCCAATTTTGCTTGTGGTAATTTTCTATAATTTACTGAAAACAGTCCCTTTTTTGGGGACATTTAGGTTGCCTTTTTAGTTTTTTTTTCTGACATACCTAGATTGTATTATATATGAAAGCTTATATTCAGTTTTGTTCTCTGAATGTTATAAAAGCAGTTATATGATTTTAAACTCTTCATACACTATAAATAGAAAGAGTAATCTTTTATATGACTATACTGTTCCTTGTTGCTATTTCTGTTTTTAGTTTTGTTTTGCTGTTAACCTATTTGTTCTGTCTCTTATGATAAGGGTTCTAGAAATGGTAGCTATGAGAAATTTCATAGCATAGTGCACAGAGTATGGATTTGAAGTTTGAATTTTGACATTTTTGTTTTAGTAACTGTACCTTTGAGCAAACCATTTAACCCTCTGAATCTGTTTTTTACATCTGTAACATGGGAATAGCAAGTCATTAGTTTAATGATTAAAGTGAATTGTGTAAAGTGCCTAGTATAATGCTTAGGACATTTGGTCAATGGTAGTTCTCTCTAAGGGACTGGAAGGTCATTCACTGAGAGTACCTTCTGGGAATCATTCTTGCCTAGCATTTTCTTCATCCACATTATGGAAAAATTGCTGTATGTGAAGAGAAAGTACTTTTAGTGACTTGACTCTTTTTCAAATGAAAGGTTATGTTTATAATAACATGTTTCATTTCCTAGTTTTTTGCAGTTTAGAGATGCTTCCCCTTAAAAGAATAAACTATGCAATGATTTATTGTAACTCAAGTTGTTAGACTTGTCAAGTTCTGAGGTTTGAAACAATCTCTTAGGAATAGCATGGACGTGGTCAGACCTTATTGGCTAGCTTTAATAGATTGAAGTTCTTTTACTTCATGAACAGGCCACAAAATACTACAAATATTATTAATTGGTACTATTTGGTTATAACAAATAAAATCAAGCTATCTTAATTAAAAAAAGACTTTATCATAAGGAAACATGGTGCCTCATAAATTTTAAAACAGGATGGTAACCAAGCCTGGAGAAGATACTGAGTCTAGAAAATCATTGGTAATTTTTCTGTATCTCAGTGCTATATTGTATCTACTTCATTTCCCCCCTGCAGACTGTCTTCCTTTGCTTCTGTCTTTCACATGGTAGGTGGAAAATACTGATCCTGTACAGTTCTCAAACTTAAATACAGATTACAGGAGATTTACTTTCTTTCAGTTCAATTTCAAATTTCTAGGAAAGGAACTTATGGCCCATTTGATGTTAATAGCTCTCACCAGAACAGTTGGCTGTGGCCTGAAGTGGGTATGTGTCACATTGTACAAATGGCTATGATACTATAATGCAGTGATTGGGGTGAGGGGCAGTCTTCAGTGAAAAGAAACCAGGCAGACAATCTAGTGAGTATCCAGAGCAGTCATTAACATTAATTTTAGAGATCACTTAGAACTATTGAAAAATGTTCAAAAATTTTTAGAATAAGGTTGAAAGCCTCCACAATCCTACCATCTAGTGATGTATTCCTTCTTTTTTTCTGTACCTGTTTTTTGTATGGTTAAGATAATATTTTTGTATTTTAAAGTTAACATGTAAACATTTTCTTATGTTAAAATTATAGATTTCATTTTTAATGATTAATATTCTGGCTTATGAATTTTTAAACTATTTTTCTATTGCTGGATATTTTGATTGTGATAAACATCTTTCTGAATAAAAATTTTCTTTATTTAAAATTAGTGTCCTTAGGGAGAGGGAACCAGAAAAATGTTGGATTAAAGAGTTATGAACATAAAGTTTTGCTATTTGTTGCCAGATTGCTTTTCAGAAAGGCTGCTCAAATTTATACTCCTTCCTTCCAGCTGTGTATCAGAATACCTATGTCACTGCAGCCTTGCCAACATAGAGTAGTATCTTTAAAAAACAGCAATAAGCTTACTAATTATATAGGCAAATAATGAAAGTGTTACGATTGTAATTTCACCTCTTGTCTTGGTCTTTGGCTTTTAGGAATTGTGGGTTGAACGAATTTATATTTTTGTTAAATATTTACTATTGATTTTGGTTTCGCTGGAGTTGCCCACATTTGAGACTACTTGGTTGATAGAGATAGCAAGATAGTCCCAGAAATATGGATTCAGAAAAATATTCACCCTGAGGCAGATTGCTTACTTTATATGAAGGCTATAAAAGCTTTAAAGTCAGATGTTAACTGGTTTCTGGCATCACTGAGATAATGGGGAATTGTTAATGAAGATGGAGTGATTATCTTGATGACCGTTCAGCAGGGAAGTGGGGGGTAGTATATTAATGTGATCACTATTTTTCAATGTCTGATCTTTAATTTTTCAGTTCAGATACTGGAATTTGTTTCCCAGAAATGATCACCTTGTATGTGGGTATGAGAACTGACTTGACTAACCAAACTTCAAGCTGACGTGAGCACCAAATGACAGTTTGTTAATTTATTATGGAAGAGAGACATTTTTAGTGATTGGAATACTCAGGTCCATCATTTACTGTATCTCCTTCTAGGATGAGGTATAATGAAAGCTGAAATAATAATCAGAAAATGGAAATTTTAAGAGATGATTCAACTAGTCTATGGAAAGACTTGATATACTACCAGTGCCTGACAACAGAGGATATTTCTATGGTGACCAGATATGTCTATTCACTTTCACTTTCTCAGGCCATGATGTTGATGACACTGCTTGAATCTGGATCTTTGAATTTTCTTTTGTAGATTTTTTTGTAAACTATCCTTTTCCCATTAATGTATTTCTTTAGGCAGAGAGCTATGTCTTGATTAGGCCACAGTTTCCTTAGTTAAAGTTACATTGCTATCATGCTTCCCTGTTGAAATTTACCTTGATGAAATTTGGGTATTTTGTTTGCTTGTTTTACTGTGTTGTTTTCATATTCTGGAAGAGCCTCACTTTACCCCTATCTTCAAATTACTGCTATTGAGGTATAAGTTTAGAAATTAAAAATAATTTATTGAAATAAAGACATTCTTGGGATATGTTGAAATGGTTGGGAAGAAGATAATTTGAGTAAATAATATAACAGTACTGGTTAGAGCATGTATTTTGGAGTTAAACAGGTCCAAGTTCCATTTTTGACCAAGTCTGTGAATTTGGGCAAATTATTTAACCTGTCAAAGTTGCATTTCCCTCACTTCAAAAATAATCTTAATTATTTCCTCAAAAGTTTCTTGTTAGAACTAAAGGAGATAATGCATGTAAGTGATTATCATAGGCCTGGCATAAATAGGTGCACAACATATTTTTTTTAAAACTTACTCTGGGAAAGGTAGAGATGCTTTAGCCTAAGGCAGAAGTGGAGGTATCTTATAACTTCTTAGTGCTTTGATTGCTTCTGAAGCCTAAGGCTTAGTCAACAAATCATTCTAAGAAGGTAAAATTCTATTAAATGTACACTAGGTGTCAGTATTTACCTTTTAAAAAAGCATTTTTAAAAAATTGCTTTCAGAGAGGGAGAGGGAGAGAGAGAGGGAGAGAGAGAGGGAGAGAGAGAGAGAGAGAGAGAGAGAGAGAGAGAGAAACATCAATGTTGAGAGAGAACCATTGATTGGCTGCCTCTTGCACGTCCCATACTGAGGATCAAGCCCACAACCTAGGTATGTGCCCTTGACCGGGCATGTGCCCTTGATGGGAATTGAACCTGGGACCCTTAGGTCTACAGGCCAACGTTCTA